GGTTGCTGCTGGAAGGCAAAAACGATATTTAAAAAGCCGAAAACGTAGCAGAAAGGCGACTGACATCAAGTGGATTTAGTGTTCCGACGTTCTCATCTGCGCTTTCCATGATTCGTAAAACACTGCCCTGAGCAAGTGCTGCTAACTTTGTTACTGATATCCACTCCGTTATATCACCGGTTTTTTGTTTCACCAGCATCTGGAAAACATGGCTTTCAGGCTAAATGCAGCAACTCCTCATCACTTTCCCCTTCATTCATCTCTCCCTCCTCAGATTCCGGAAAAATTATATTAATAGTGCTTCTTGTAAAAGTCTAACTTTCGTATCTTTTCCACTCTGAAATCAGAGTCCCAGCCAAAAAATAGATTATTGTGAGAATCTTCGAGGCGGATGAAAAATATGACAGAGGGTGGCCACAAAAAGTCCCGCAATTTGAACTCTATTTATAAGGACAGTCATTTGTCTTGGAGTTCATTCATACTGTTAACTTGCTGTCCTTCTAAATTTTGTTGCTTTATCGCTGTCTCTCTGATATATTGCAAAATGTTTACCAACTCTGCTTCATCTAAGTTTTGCGACATTTTATGTTGTTTTGCAATTTTGCGATCTAAGTTTTGCGATTTTCGACATTTTATGTTGCGATTTTGGAAGGCAAGTTAGAAGCCAAAGAAATACGGGAAGATGAGCGTCTCAACCACTAAATTATTTGCAAATTTTCTCTCTTTAACTGGTAAAAACGCTGAGGAAGTTTTTCCAAATGTTATCCAGTGACTGTTATTGTACAAAACCATAGAATTATTCACAAAACTAAACCATTAGCAGGAAATGTCTACGTAGCTTTCGCAGCCATGTGATGAAACAAATACAGTTTTATAGCGTTTGCATTTAAAAAATACAACTTTTAATATATTAATACTACGGCATTTCCAAGTTTTAAGAGTTTTTTTTCCTTTCCTATGCCAGACTTATCGTATTATCAGAGTTATAAATCAAAGTTTCATTGGCGATTTTTACTTATGGCTGTGGAAGTCAGCATCCTGGTGCAGTTTTCCTGGAAGCATTATTGCAGTAGTGCGCAAAAACTTGCCAATTTTACAGCAGCATTCAGCACATCATAAAGTGCAGTTAGCAGTGCGCAGATAGGCTCTTTTGCAACCGCATAATCGACGTGTACTGGTAGAAGGATGCGAACCACGTCCGCCATACGACTGGACAAATCGAGCACTTTGACAAGAGCATCATCCACTGAAAAAAGAGAGAAATAGAGCAGCAGAAAAAAAAAAAAACAAAATTAAAAAAATCCGAGGTTTTTAAATTTATCAAAAATTCTAATAGCTTTT